CCTCTTCTGCGGTCTGCCTACTCCTCGCCTGTTCTCTCTTGGTCTCCAGTTTGTTAATCTTTGTGTCCATTTTTCGGGATTATCTCGGGCAACGTGTCCGACCCATTGCCACTTGAGCCTTGCAATACGTTCTGGGACATCAGTAATTTTTGTTCTTTCACGAATGACGTTATTTCGAATCCTGTCTCTCAAACTAATCCCTAGCATGGCCCTCTCCATTGCTCTTTGGGTTGTACTGAGCTGTTCTAAGGTTTTCTTTGTGAAGGCCATGGTCTCCAGTCCATATGTAGTTACAGGCATGATACATTTGTCATAAACTCTACGTTTTAGACACATTGGTATATCCTTATTCTTCAAAATAAAGCTTAATTTACAGAAAGCTCCCCAAGACAGTTGTATGCGTCTTTTTATTTCGGCTATTTGATTTTCTTTGCCGATTTTAATGGTATGTCCAAGATATATATAGTGGTCTACATTTTCAAGACTGACGTTGTCAATAACAAGATTAGTTTGTAAATTACTCATTATTTTTGTTTTCTGAAGGTTCATTTTGAGACCTATTTTATTTGACTGCTGGTTTAATTCCTTCAACATTTGCTCCAGTTCCTTGATATCTGTACTAAATAATACTGTGTCATCCGCAAACCTCAAATGACTCAAACGTACACCATCAATGTTTAGACCTTTTTCCTCCCAGTCAAGCTGTTTGACTACATTTTCCAATGCTAAGGTAAAAAGCTTTGGTGAAATAGTATCACCTTGTCTAATACCTTTATCAAGGCGCATTTTTTCAGTTTTTTCGTCTTCATTGATTTTGATGTGGAATGTGGCCTGTTCATAAATGTTTTTAATGAGTGTAGTGTACCGTGAGTCTATTCGAGCATCCTTCAGGGCTGACAAAAAGGACCAAGTCTCAATACTATCGAAAGCCTTGTGAAAGTCGATAAATGCCATATGTAAAGGTACATTATATTCTGTGGTTTTTTCTACTAGTGTTCTGATGGTTTGTAAGTGATCATTAGCGCCAAACCCTTTTCTAAATCCCGCCTGTTCAACCGGTTGATATAAATCAAGTTTTTGTGTTATGCGGTTGGTTATTATTCTTGTTAACAATTTGTATAAGTGTGACAACAAACTTATAGGTATGTAGTTTTCAATATTAGTAGTGTCTCCTTTCTTGTGTAGAAGTATTATTTCGGCGTTTTCCCGTAGGCTGGGTATTCTTTTTTCTGTTAGACACTTATTCAGTAAGACTTCCACAACGTCTACAACGATGTTGCCGCCCATTTTTAACATTTCAGACGTTATACGATCCTCGCCGGAAGCTTTTTTGTTTTTCATTTGCTGTAAGGCATGTCTAATTTCCGAAGAGGTTATTTTAGGGAGGGTTTCCGAGCCGACACTGGACACCCTGTATATAAAAAATCCTGGCTTTAAAAATCGACATTTTCACGATTTTTTAGAACTTAAATTATTTGTAACTCGAAAACGATATATTTTACAAAAAAAAATTTACCTAGGATCTTTTTTTGTTCTGGACAAAATAAATTAAATTTGACAATTTGTTTATAAAAATTTTATAAAAAAATTTTTGACCACTATCTTTGGGAAATATGCATTTTTTTTATAGGAGGACTATTTCAAGTAAAATTGTGCAAAAATATGAAATGAGAATATTTTTCCTACCCAGTGCGCCCATACTACCCGCACTAACATGGTTTCCTAAATTTCGTACGTTACTCTAAGAAAATAGTATATAGCCCAAGCTGTAGGGAAAAAAGTAGGTACTATTATTGGTAATTGTTTATTTATGAGCGTTCTTAGGTGCAAAATACGTATTTTTTGAGTTTTTTTAAATTTTTTGCCTAAAGTAAGTATTGTAATGTGTAATTTCTGTACAGATCGTGAAAGTCCTCTAAAAGACCTTTAATTTAAGCCGGTATACGCTCAATTTAATTTATTTGTTATTGCAAAAATGACGAATTAAGGTCAAAATTAAAAAAGCAATATTTATTGCAAAATTGCTTTTTTTATATTTTAAATATATTACATTCAAGCCTATAAAATTATGAATCGAATGAGCCGTAGTAGGCCTAGATCGCTTAATTTGTTTTGTTGAGATACGTTTATTAGTTTTATCTCACGACCTTTAATCTTGAATGCTCATAGGATTGCCAAAAAAATGTTAGAGGACTAATTATTATTTCATTCTCTTCCCAAAGCCGTAAATTTTTATATTCCACTGGAAAATGATGAAACAAATTTTTTAACCCGTTGAAAACATTTATTTATGAAGTTGTAAAATTGCAGATATAAACATTTAGAGCTGCAGCACTGTATGTACTGTATGTACCCTACAAATGTTTATTTTGCAGATTATTGTAGCTGGCTTCGAGAAGAGAATTAAAAAAAAGAGTGTTCTGCGACTAATGGGAGCCGAATTAGCATAATTTAAAAAAAAATCACAGAGGCTTTATTAATAGCAATTAATAAACGAATCTGGCGTCATTCACTAGATAAAAACCTACATTTTCAAGTATTTGTTATTCTTATTTATTGTTAAAAATGACGAATAAAGTTTACCTTTTTTCAATGTAGCACCGAAACCGCATGTGGCAAACATTGCGGATGCCGTAAGCATGGCCTAAAATGTAGTATGTGCGAAAATTGTAATGGTAGAGAGTTGCGAAAATTGTCATACTGCTGAATATGAACTAGATGATGCAGAAAAAGAATGTGAGAGTGAAATGGATGTTTTGGATGAATTATTATATGATTCTGAGGAAATTGTACAACTTACCTACTAAAAAAAGAAAAATAAATAAAAACTCAGCATATTTCTGATTTTATAAATAATGAATCTCATTTTAAAACCATGGATAAATTACAATTATTTTACTGTTTATATCTTTGTTTTACCAATTTATTCCTTCTATCAAAGTAATTTGCAAGTTAAGATATACGTATGTATGATGTTTATTTTAATTTATTAAACCAATTATTTAATTTCTCATGAAATTGTACGAAAAATCTAGTTTGACCAAAAGTTTTAAAAATCAATTTTTTTGAGTTTTTTTTAGAAAATAAATTGTTTTTAAATATACATTTTAATCATTTGAACCTTACTTTAACATAATTTTTCACTGTGTAAAAGTATTAAAAAAAAAAGATAAATACTGAATAAATGTTTTTAATTAATTTTTTTTTTAGAAATGGGGATGTTTCATGGGGATGTTCTCAATAATAATTTGGTAGTAGATTACGTTTAATAGTATTGTAAAAATTAAAGAATTGAAAAAAAATTGAATATAAAAAAAATTCAGTGTGGTTGAGGGTGGTTTTTAAGGGTGAAAGTATTCCAGATGTTATTATTTCGACGAGCTAAAAAAATCTTTTAAATACATAAATATATTTAAAAAAAAAACATCGAAATCGGTACACTTTTCACTGAGATATTACAAATTTTTTCGATTCAGTTTTTTTCTTGTTGCGCAAAGTCATCCCCACCACTACTTATGTGCCATCGCTTGAAAAAAGGTAAACTTTATTCCTCATTTTTAACAACAAATAATGATTTTAATATAAGGAGAATACAAATACTTAAAAATATAGATTTTTAAGTAGTGAATGACGCCAGATTCGTTTCTTAATTGTTGTTAATAAAGCCTCTGTGATTTTTAAAAAAAATTATGCTAACTCTACTCTTATTGATCATAGAAGACTCTTTTTTTATAATTTCGTTTACAATAATCTGCAAATTAGAAATTTGTAGGGTACATAGGGGGCGCTCCAGCTCTAAATATTTATAACTGCAATTTTACAACTTCATAAACAATTGTTTTTAACAGGTTAAAAACAATTTTTCATTATTTTTTAGTGGAATATTAAAATTTAAGGCTTTAGGAAGCGAATAAGATAAGAATTACCCCTCTATCATTTTTTTGGCATTCCTATGAGCATTTAAAGTTTAAGGTCGTGGGATAAACTAATTACCGTAACTCAGCAACAAATTAAGCGATCTAGGCCTACTATGACTCAGTCGATTCGTAATTTTATAGGCTTAAATGTAATATATTTGAAATAAAAAAAAGCAATTTGCAATAAATATTACATTTTTTAAATTTTGACCTTCATTTGTCATTTTTGCAATAACAAATAAATTAAATTGAACCTATACTGGCTCAAATTGTAGGTCTTTTAAAGTACTTTCATAATCTATACAGAAATTACCCACATTTACTTTAGGCAAAAAATGAAAAAAACTCAAAAATACGTATTTTGCACCTATAAATGCTCATAAATAAACAATAATCAAAAATTTTTTGTTGAATGAACTGGAGCATTTCTCCTGAGGTTGTTCTTTATAACCTAGGAGATATTACATAAATTCCTGGATTACAGTGTAAAATCACCCATTTTTCCTCACAGCCTCTTCTAATATAATACTTTGTTGCCAAGGTTCGAAACGTTGACAAAAATATAAGCTAATATAGTGTAAGAGTATAAAATCGAAGAATTCGTAATAATTTCTACTTTTCTAATTACCAGGTTGTCTCTCTCTTTTGTGTTACCATCCTGCAGATTTGTAACAGGTCCTAGTATGCTAGACAAACTCCAATTTGAATGTTTCATTACTCTTGGCAAAAGCCTAGCAACACACTCGAAATGGGTCAAGGACGGAGGCAAATTTTCGGATGAATAACCAATTTTTGTAGAACAAAACGGTCAAAAGTGTTTCCCAATTTGTTTTTAGAATTAAAATTGAAAAGTAAATATGCAAAGTTAAGAAAAAAATCATATTTGATTGCCTCATTTGTATTTTATTAAAATTAGAATGAAATTTAAAAATTTTAGCGTAGAACTTACAGCAATGATTATTGTCTTCGAAAATGGAAAAAACTGTACTATGTTTGTCTGGTAAAAATTTTAAAACTAGCTGCTTTAAGTAGTTGTTGATAAAGTTTTTTGTTTCCAATTTATATTTTGATTCTGTTTCATTTCTAAGTGTCTTTAAAAACTTTAACTAAACCAAAAATTATTTTTACACCTATAAAACAAAACACATAGTGTAACATTGTTTTTAAATTCTATTATCACACCAATATGATTTTTTTAAGTAAATAAAGTACTTACGAACGAAAATATTGGACATCAGTGTTGCAGGTAGGCAAAAGACGATTACTAAAATATCAGCTACTGCCAAATTAACGATAAAAAAGTTCGTAACAGTTCTCATTCTGGGCGATCGAAACACCACTGCGATCACAAAGAAATTTCCAACCAGTCCAAGAGCAAACACCAACAGATATGCTACACAGTAGACCGTTGTCATGGCCATAGAGTGTCTGTAGAACAGTTCCGGGATAAACACGGACTCTGTAGTGTTAACTGAGGAATTGAACACAATAACAGCTTCATTGGACTTTATTTCAAGAACGGAATTCTTGTGGACGTCGTTGTCATCGGCATGAGCCTGGAGGATACTATGTATACCGCTGAGGTACTCCGTGGAAATCATATTCTCGGAAGTATCTACGTTAATATTAGAATTATTTCTAGCAAAAATATCATCTTGATAGCCCCACTCTTCCGAAAAAACCATCGACATGGCACAAACTTAAAGTTCCATTTTTCCGTTGGTGTCCGAAAAAGTTTTCCAAAGTTTTCCGCGTGTCTTACGAGAGTTTTCCTTCGAGGGTGGTGCACGGGCCGCGTTGTGTTTGGAATGGTAGACCCGACGGCTCGGCATGGTCCTGGGGCGCGCGTTGCAGTGGGGGCGAGTGCAACCCCTAGCGCAGTCGCCCCGTTTGGTTGTTAGTCAACAGTGAGGCACTCGACTGTTTTTCCGAGGGTGTAATTTGAATAAGGACACGGTTGCAAAAGTCTTTGAGGGGAAATAATTAAACGTTGGCGGCTGTTTCTGATTTTGAAAAGGTCTAGGAACATTTGTGATGAGTAATAATTTATTTTCTTAATTGGTTATGCATTTAGTGGTGAAATTACTGAAATATTCTTCGTTTTATTCAGTTTGACTTAAAAAATATGTAGTACAAGAAACTTTTAAAGTCAGAAAAAATATTTACATATCAAATGAGATAAGTCAGGATTTACAATACATGCACAAGGCTGATTTTTTTCTTCCTTCTTCGTTCTTTTCTCGTCTTTTTCCGATATTTGTATTACTCATCTTTTCATAATCGTATTTTTAAATGTCATGTACTGTAAGATTATTGACAAGTATCATAGTTATCTTGATTTTAAAAACATAATTAAATATTTGGCTAGTCAGAGAGTTGACCACTAAAAATCATACGAACAAGCTGAATTTTGCCAAGAATATAAATTTTGGAAACACAAAAAAGATGCAAAAATGTTTACAACCCCTGGGCGTTACTCTAAAACCTCTCTCGTCGAGGGGTAAAAAGGCAAAAAAAAATTATTTACCACGATCTGTACGGCGCAGAAAAAATGTTTTAAATAAAAAATGTAGCTGAGATAATTTTTAACAAAAATACTCTTTTTGTGTAGAATGAATCGTTCTCTCAGAAACAACGCTTGAAGTGACCGTCGATTTTGAATGTCAGTCACGTGCGCGAAATCAATGTTTAATAAACTTTTTTGTTGGTACCCCATTTGGCTTATTTAAAGTACGCCGTAGCGTGTTTAAATTCAACTTTCAAAAACGCGCGTGTTTTAAAGTTACCATGGCAACATCAACAGTTTTAAATATTTATCTGACCTGACAGGAGTACATAACTTGTAACGTCAAATAAATAAAATATAGATAAAATATTACTAACAAATATTTCAAAAGCTTTATTCAAATATTTCGAAATCTTAATTTTTTAAATGAATGTGAAAAGTACAGTTCTTCTTCTTAGGGTGCCTGTCTGTTTCGAACGTTTGCGATCATTCTGGCTATGATGACTTTGTTGGTTGCTATACGTGTTGAGGTCTTTCTATAACATGCTCTCAGGTTAGCAAGTCAGGATATTCTTCTTTGTCCTGGGGCCCTTTTTCCTTCAATTTTACCTTGTATAATGCATTGAAGTAGCTCGTATCTGCCTTGATTTCTCATTATATGGCCCAAGAACTGCAGCTTACGGCCTTTACGATGTTGACCAAATCCCCAGTTGTGTTCATCCTCCGCAGTACTTCTTCGTTGGTGACTTTGTCTGTCCATGGTATCTTTAAGATCCTTCTGTATGACCATAGCTCAAAAGCCTGAAGTTTTGATAGAGTTTCCGTCTTCAATGTCCACATTCCTACTCCGTACAGAAACACTGAGTACTCATAACATTTAAGGAGCCTTATTTTTGTTTTCAGGGTGAGGTCATGGCTCTTGAACACAGAACTCATAGTCAAGAATGCACTGTTTGCCTTTCCGATGCGACATTTAATCTCTTGGGTATTGTTCCACGATTTATTGATTATATTTCCCAAGTAGTTATATTGTGAGACTCGTTCAATTCTCATTTGGTTCACATACAGATTTGCTTCAGCATCGTTTTCCTTGCCGATGATCATTAGCTTGGTTTTGCTGGTGTTTATATCCAGTCCATAATTTCTACTTGTTTCCGTTATTTTGTTAATTAAGCTTTGCAGCCCTTATATTGGATTGAAAATACTATTTAATCTCTGTATTCTGCAGGCTATTGAGATTAACTCCATTTATTGAGATACCTTTATCAATATCTTTTAGAGCCTCCAAGATATTTATTATCAGCTCCAAGAGCCTATTACAAAAATGTGCTCCGGGTATAGATTAAATATCAGTGGTGAAATTATGCACCCCTGTCTTACTCCTCTTAAGATTTTAGCCATATATTCTCCATATATTCGGAGTACCGCTGATTGATTCCAATACTGGTTAGCTATTATTTTGAAGTCTTCTTCGCCAATCCCTGTCCTCTTCAGCACTTCCATCATTTGTTCATGTTTGACTCTATCGAAACCCTTCTTGTAGTCAATCAGGCATGCAGAAACATTACAGCTGACATCTCTACATTTCTGAAACAATATCTGCAAGCTAAATAAAGTTTCGCATCGCAAAAGCTAGATCCACATTCAATTGGATGGAGGCCTTCTTCAAGAGTCACAACCTTAAAAGATATTATATAACCTTAAAGATCTTAGTTTATTTGAGGTAAAATACAAAAATTGCATACGTAAGTTGAACTCTTTATCTTTAAAAAGAGAATCTTGATTTTGATCAATAGAACACTTGAATAAAATGATATGGAAATTTTTCCGTGGAGCTGATACAAATTTTATTCAACATTGATTTCGGGCGCGTAACTGACGTTCAAAATCGAGGGTAGTCTCAAGTGTTTTTGTTTAAAATTACCTCAGCTACATTTTCTATTTAAAAGATTTTTTCTACGGCGTAAATCGATTTTTTGCGTTTTTACCCCCTACGAGGAAGACCTATTGGAAATCCCGTGGGTCACAGGGGTAAACACCTTTGCATCTTTTTTGATGTCACAAAGGTAATATAATTGGCAAATTCAGCTTGTTCGTATAATTTTTAGAGGTTCAGTGGCATTTTCGTCTCTGACGACTGGAGTATATATATATATATATATATATATATATATATATATATATATATATATATATATGTATATATATATATATATATATATATATATATATTGTTATGATATGTAAAATCAAGAAAAATATTGGTTTGCTTAAAATATTTCAAAGTTCAAAAACATTAAAATAATTCCGATAAGTCAAACAATAAACTACAAACATTTCGAAGAATGAAAGTCTTTTAATTTTGGATTACCTTTAACAAAACGTACGATATGGTTAAAATATATTTGTATGACGTGAATAAGCTTAAGTGAAATAAAAGACAATTGAACCGGGTTTTCCAAATGCATTAGTGCAGCGATTAGGACAATAGAATAGATATTAGAAAGATAGGTTTTTGTTAGTTTGTAAGAATTGTAGAAAAATATTATTTGTAAATGAGTTTTAAAAAATTTTATAATTATAGGTAAAAATTTGTTTGTTATCGAAATGAAAAAATGGGAGATGGATGACGCATTTTGATTGGATGAAATTGAAAAAGGTGAGATGATTGGTTTGAGAATGGGACTTTAGTTAGTTTTTGAAACAAAAAAGATAGTCAGTTGGTTTCCAAGGGTAGAAGGCGAACGGCCGTTGTTCTCGGGTAGTTTTCCCAGAGGTAGGAAGCAGTAGCAGTGAAAGTTTGTGAGTTTTCGTGTAGTTGGTGTATCTGACAGAAGCTGATCCAGTAAAAGATTGTAAGTTATATTTTCTACTTATATTCCAAGAGTCACTGTTCAGGCCAACGAGAGATTCAGTTTATCGTAAAGAAAAGATATTCCAAGAGTCAGTTTTCACTCAGGCCAACAAAAGATTTAGTTTATTGAGAGAAGAAGAAGCTAGCATAATTTGAACGATTCGTGCATTTGAAGGAGATCATTAAGGACGATAAACTTGCAATAATTTGTTGTAAGATTGCTGATTACCTAGGGAGCGGCTACGAGTAAATAGTATAGTCTACCTACAAGGAACAAGGATTTGGACCACTCATCATCAGAGAGAGATAGTTTTGTTTTCTGCAGTTTTTCTTTTATTGATAACACAATTTTTTACACTTAATTTAAAAAGGATATAAATATTTTGATTAGGAGATTTAGAATAATATTTGGATTTTGAGATTTCAACTAAGATTGTTTGTAACATTAATTTTGAAGGTTCACGTACGTAGAACAAAATTTTGAGAATCATTATATGAGATTTTGTTTATTGAAAACATTTGAGTGTGAATTTTATTTCATTATTTTTATTTCAATATATAACGTTAGATCCTATGTTTTTTATTATTCCAGTATTCTTTGGACCTTACCTTTCACATGTAATAGCATAGATATTGAAGCACGAAATTAACCCTGAGATAAGAGAATAAAAAAGTGTGATAGAATCATAGTCATATCATTTAAATAATTTTGATTAATTGATTAATTAATTAATTAGCTAATTAATTGCTTGGCGCACTAAGATTTTAAATATCACAGTAATATATATATATATATATATATATATATATATATATATATATATATATATATATATATATATATATATATATATATATATATGTATATGTTAAACTTAGCATATAAAAATTAAACTTATTTCCTCAATTTTTAATAAATTTTGAAAAAATTAAATCATTTTTATGTTAAAAACAATTTCGAATTTTCTTAAGAAATTTAACAACTTTTATTTAATTTATTTAATTCTCCTATAAGGTTCTTCCTATAATAATAAAGCTATTATATGTTAATGAAACTATCATCGTTTATTATAATATTTAACTACCGATTTTATTATTGACAAATAATAATGAGCACGTAATCCATTTTTTGACTATTTCTATAAGAACGCAAACACATTTATATTTAGGTTTTATAAAATTTTACTTATTGGCTAATGGCTATATCTCTCCTATGATGTGCATGTAAACATTTTTAACACATCTTGATTTATTTGTCGATTTTTTGATTACATACAGACCTTCATTATTGTTTCTTAAAAAGGTTTGCAGGTTCTTTTGAACAGATTCTA